GAAAGGAACAAGATCACAGATCCTGTTCAGAACAAACATGGACGTTGAGATCAACAGCCACGTAGAAAAACACTACTTCGATGTAATCAACATCGACAGATACGATGCCATCTTCGGCGCCCCCTGGTTAAACAAAAACCAGGTAAGCTTAGACTTCCGGTCCCACAAAGTGAGAACGGTGAACAAGGGCAACATAGACACCCTTGGAATAAGCGAAGACCGTGTGATGAGATCACATGGATGGAAAACTCGAGCAAGAGCTCGAGAACAACCAAAAAAGAAGCCCCCCTGACAGGGAGGCGGGATTGAAACACACCTCAGGGTAATCAAAAGAAAATACCCTGAAGGTTGGCCCAATCCTAGTCCGGAAGGACTAGAACTTCCAGACGTACCACACCTGGAAGGTCTCTCCATGAACAACCCCGAGTTCGAAACACTCAGGGAGTGGTGGAGAGAAAAATTCGAAACCGTAATGGCACCAGTGCCATTAGAAATGCCTCCCTTGAGGGAGGTGAACCATCGAATCCCGTTGAAGGATCTGAACAAGAAATTTCGGGAAAACACCCTGAGATGTCCTGCAGCACTGCAGGAAGCACTAGCGACCAAAATAGATCGCTATGTAAAAGCAGGATGGTGGTATCCTGTGAACAGCGAGCGAGCATGCCCACTACTGTGCATCTGCAAAGCAGATGGATCTTTGCACACAGTAATAGATGCGAGGAATCGTAACTCAAACACGATCCTCGATGTCACACCTATGCCAGACATGCGACTGATCCAAGAATCAGTTGCCAGAGCAACATACCAATCCAAGATCGATATGTCGGATGCGTACGAACAAATACGTGTGGACCCAGACGACGTCCATAGGATGACATTCTCTATGCCCCATGGGATGTACAACTCGAACACGATGGAGCAAGGAGACTGCAACGCTCCCTGCACCTTCCAGCACGCACTGACCTGGGAACTACGAGGAGAAGTAGGCAGACACCTACACATCTGGTTCGATGATATATTCACCAGCACAAGCTCGGTGGAAAACCACAATAAAGCACTATTGTGGTTGTTCACTCGCCTAAAAGGGGCGAAATTCTACATAAGCCAGAAAAAATTCCAGCCATTTGCCCCAATCCTAGACGTTCTAGGAAGCCGTGTGGACAAACAGGGCATCCACACTCAAGCGGATAAAATGGAAAAAATCCGCAACTGGCGAGAGCCAGTAGACCACACAGGAGTCCTAAGATTCCTGGGAATGGTAGAATATCTATTGATATTCATGCCAAACGTCAGCGGTTACACAGGACCACTGCAAACAATCTGCTCAAACAAGCAGACATTCAGGTGGACACCACTCCACCAGAAATGCTTCGACGAGATCAAACGTCTAGCATGCAGGGCTCCGATCCTGATGCCCGTCCAGTGGAACCCACTGGAAAGCCTCTCAGAAGAGAGAGGACCAAACTCCATGTCTGGGTCATAACAGATGCATGCCCAGCGGTGTTACAGGAATGGGTTCCGGGGAACCCAACCTGAGCCGTTCTGCTCACGGACAGAGGTGGCTGCATAGCCGTTGAAGGGAGAGCAGGAGATCTGAGACCGGGTGTACTAACAGTAACTTGGCGCTCCGAGGAGCATACCGGCAGCGGGTATAATGGGGGCTCCTTGAGGGAGCCACCTAACAGTTGGCTAGCGGCAACTTGGCGCTCCAAGGAGCATACTGGCAGCGGGTATAATGGGGACTCCTTGAGGGAGCCATCTAACAGTTGGCTAGCGGTGACTTGGCACTCATGTGAGCGTACCGGTAGCGTGGGTAGTCGGCACTCCTTGAGGGAGTAGCCCAGTGGTTGCCTATCGGTTACTTGGCGCTCAAGGGAGCGTACCGGTAGCGGGACTTGTTGGGACAGACAGGTTGGTTGACCAGTGCATGGTAGTGAGTGACCGTGGGAATTTGGGCCCGTGGGTACATGGCCAGGCATCCTGGGGCTGCCTGGGTCACTTCTCCCTCCCAAGAAGGGAGGAAGGGTTGTAGGACCCAGTAGGGTACTACAGGAAGGATAGGAATAGGAGCTCAACCACCCAGTGGGGGGTGGGAGCGGGAAGAGTGAGGTCCAGTGTCTGAGCACTCACCGGGCCGATAAGGTTTTCTCACAGATTGTAAGAATATCGATGTAGACATCGATATGGACCAATTCAGATGTTACAGAGAAGGCTTACAGTGGTGGCACAATGGTGTGGCAGTTACAATTGCGGGTACAAGGTTTTGTGGGTTATGTATTTGATAATGAAGGAACAATTCCGGCAACTGCCTTACATGTCATATGACTCATAACTATCTAATATAAATATTATAATGGTCAAGGGAAATCCCTTGAAACTCAACAAATCCCCCAGCCAGCACCAAAACCCAGTGGGAAAGCTTGGCATGGGGTTTGACAGCGAAATAAGGTGATGGAATCCCAAAGTCTGCTTGCCTATAGTCACGGACCATAAGATTCTAGATCCGTTTCTATAACATTGCCCCCCAGACTCTTATGGGCCAGTGTGACAGCAATGTCTTTCCTCTGGTCCTTCAAGAGCCCAGGTTCCCAGTACTGAGGAACCGATGATGAGGAAGGTGGGCTGGAGACCTGTTAGCAGCCTGAGGCTCCGGTTGTTGGCTTGTATGACAACCCTGTCCCAACCCAACTGGGAGCGTTCAGCAGGTGGAGTAGACCCAATGTACTCGGCCCACTGTGATAGAGCCAGCAGTGACACCATTCCTGAACACAATGGCTCGGAGACGGTCTGTGCGCGATAAGGGAACCCAGGACATCAATCTCCTAGCCCAACCCATATATGGGGAGTTGGGTCTAGCCACATGGGAAAGTGCTGAGATCGTCATGGGGTAGTCTAGTTTCATAGCACATCTCGCAATAGACACCACTGAGGGTGAATGGTCTTATAGGGGTCGGTGATGCTAGGTGGTGACACTTCCGGGGCTGCTGGGTGGTGAAGCAGCTTTGGGTGCTGGAGTGGGCACCGCGAATTGACATGTGCCTTGGTACCAGACCTGGGTCAACAGTGGGTATTCAGAACAGTGACTTGGATGGTCTGGGCTATGATGTCATCTCTCGCGCATGATGCAAGGCGATCTCCTTGCCCTCGTTGTCGACTTGAGTACCCTGGGTCGGGAAGAGTTCACCCTACCTAGACCTTGCGGGTCCTCTGAGGACCGGCATCAGCAAAAAATTGTTATGCTCCTGAGTGCTCCGGAGTATCGAGAGCACTGGGAGAATCAGGAGGAGATTGGCCGGTCCAGGAACAGCCCATTTCCTCCGGAGTTGGCTAGGTACTCCAGGGCACTCCCAGGAGGGCCTGGAGCATTGCTTTGTGCACAAACATATCCAGTAAATACAATTTAAATGCTTCAAAGTGTATAGGGGTGAGAAGCTTCTGGGAGCTCCTGGAGCATTTGAAAATGAAAAGGAAAAAAAGAGGGAAGTTCCCCCATGAATACCTCCTACCACAAGACTAACACAACAAGACACTGCTTAACATTTAGATCAAACACTATACTATATATCAAGGACACTGAGACTCACCAATACACAATCAAAATTTATGGCCTGATATATGATTAATCTGGCAACTTAATCACTTTCGGGCTGGCAGAATATGGGGGAGGGGGAAATGGGGGAGAATGAGGGGGGAAATGAGGGGGAAATGAGGGGAAATGAGGGGGAGAATGAGGGGAGAATGAGGGGGAGAATGAGGGGGGGAATGAGGGGGGGAATGAGGGGGGGGGGGGAATGAGGGGGGAATGAGGGGGGAATGAGGGGGGATATAGAGGGAAATGAGGAAAATTTGAAAAATAGGGACTTCTAAAAAGTTGAAAAAAATAATTAGGGAAAAAATCAAAAAAATTCAGGAACTGTAGTGCCTTTGAAGTGCTTTCAGGATATATAATTATTTGCAAAATCGAGGAAGAAATGATGGAGAAAAATGGAAAATACTTTCGGAGACCCGAGAAATAATGAGAACTGAATTGATGGGGAATAGGAAAGTGAGGGGAAGCCTTGTAAGCATTGTTATTTTCTGCTGTTCTGATTTTTCCTGATTGTTCTTGGTCTCACTCCCAGCTGCTACTGGATACTCCTGGATACTCCTGGATACTCCTGGAAGCTCCTGGGAGGGTCCAGGAGCAGCTAATGGAAAATACTTTTGGAGACCCAAGAACTGAATTGATGGGAAAGTCTGAAAATTGAATAGGAAAGTGAGGGGAAGCCTTGTAGCATTGTTATTTTCTGCTGTTCTGATTTTTCCCAATTCTTCTTGGTCTCATTCCCAGCTGCTCCTCAATACTCCTGGAAGCTCCTGAAAGCTCCTGGGAGGGTCCAGGAGCAGCTGGGAGTGAGACCAAGAACAATCAGGAAAAATCAGAACAGCAGAAAATAACAATGCTTACAAGGCTTCCCCTCACTTTCCTATTCCCCATCAATTCAGTTCTCATTATTTCTCGGGTCTCCGAAAGTATTTTCCATTTTTCTCCATCATTTCTTCCTCAATTTTGCAAATAATTATATGTCCTGAAAGCACTTTAAAGGCACTATAGTTCCTGATTTTTTTTTTGATTTTTTCCTGAAAATTTTTTTTTCAACTTTTTAGAGACCAAAATTTTCCTCCCACTGCTCCTGGCACATTACATACTCCTCACCACTCCCAGCTGCTCCTGAACCCCCTCCCAGGAGAACACTATTGGCTCCAGGAGTGCCCAATCTGCTGTTTTGTCTCCCACATGCTCCAGCCACTCTTGATGCTCCGGAGCATAACGGACTTTTGCTGATGGGTGTAGGTTGAATTGGCGGATCAAGCCCATAACTTGAGCATGAGAAGTCCCCTCCACTCTGCACCTATGCCAGTAAATCGTCATTGGCGGCTCTGCCGTCGATGCAAGTGCAAGGGCGCAGGAAGGTCTCGTCGCACATAATCGTGCCCACTGCGAGTGTTACTTGCATTGCATGCGAGTGGTGACCTTGAAGCGACCAGGAAACCTGTGCCCGGCACAACTCGAAACCTGGTTGAGCGATGCCGACCGTTCGCGGGTTCTATGTCCTGACAAAGTGGCCAAGTGGATGCTGGGATGTGACGGCGCGATCAAAAGCCGCGAATTCGCAGATGGCAGTGACAAGATAAGACAACCCTATCCAGGGAGACGTCGAAGTGAGCAGTCTCGCTGGTTTCCATGAAGGCATCCGACTCTTGTTGACCTCAGGAGACCAACGCGTTGAGGGTGTGTCCTGGCCCGAGGCTCCAAACTGTGGTGGCATGTGTGCCCCTCTTTGTTGGCGCGTTACCTTGTAAGGGTCTTGCAGTAACTCGCGATGAGCCTAATGTGTACGTCGACTTTATCAGGGATGGAGGAATAGGAAGGTCCGGTGTCAATCGAGCTGGCATTGGGATGGGAAGTTGGCAGCTGCCAACGTCAGAACAGCCATACGGTCTGCTCCATTGTGTCCGTATGGAGGAGCAATCAGTGCGGGAATGGCATCAAGCACCAGTACGGGTGAACATGCCGTGGTCGGTGGACTCCGGTACAGGTTTGGGGTGGGATTAGCCTCCGTGGGAGGGTGACGTCCGGCGGCGAGACTGCGACGTGAAAACGTATGGTGCAATCAAGTGTGGAAGCTGAGACTGCTGATACCGGATCTGGGTAGAAAGTAGTATTTGGTCGGCAGATTGAGGGTAGCCAACTGAACTAAGTCAGTCGAAGGTACGGATAGATCCCCTCCATGACCAGAGACATGGAGGTCACTGTCAAGAAATCGCAATTGTCGGTTTCCAATATGCCTTTGACCACGCTGCAAGTTCTGACTCCCATCCCAGCCGCTGATGCTACCCAGCGAATTTCGATCAGCCATGGCTGCCTTCAGGTGTTGGGAATGGGTGCAGAAAGGGGGCGCGGAGAGGATGAGGATCGGGGATTTCGAAACAAACAATAGTAAATAGATTTGCGGGAGCGCATGTGCCCCTTCCTTCATGCATCAGCCCAATATGGGGGCTGAGGTGGAGACCAGGGTCTCAGGGATAGCTTGGAGGGATGGAAGGGGAGACTAGTCTATTTAGTACCTCTAGTCCCAAGTTGAATCTTTCATCCTCTGTATTTAACAAGTGCAATGATAGGACGTTGCTGAAGGCTTGTCTAATGCCAGTCTCCTTTGGGGCAGTCCTCTGGTGGAGGATCTGGCTTTCTGGGAGCCCGGTTATTGAACCTCGAGAGTTCAACTTCTCTCCACCCCCACTGGGCCGACGTGACTGGACGGAGGGTGAGTGTGCAAGGACACGGAAGGATTGTGCGGGCTCTGGAGTCACTCGAGATAGACCGACCACACAGTATGATATTGGGAAGGCAGAATGGGCTGGTCTGGGAAGCGGATTCTCCCGCTTGATCAGATGACAAAACCATCTAAAGGGGCGTAATAGGACAGTGGGACTTGACTGCTCTGACGACATGGCCATGGGTATAGAAGTAGCCGAGGGCGCTGAGGTTAATAGGCATGAAAGAGATACCACTGCGAGTCTTCAGGCTGAGTCAAGACGACGATTTCCTTGCTGATACTCAGACTCGTTCGGTTGCCCGAAGTAGCGTTTAGTCTACCAGCAGATAGGGAGATACCTAGGATCTTAATGTCATCGTTTTTGTATCTGTAATGCCCCTCCGATGACACAGGTCTTGGGCCTGAACAACTCCATGCCGTGCGTAAGTTGTCTAACTTGGAATAATCTGGGACAGCCCATGAGGCATAGCGGTCCTTTCCCGTAACGCCATTGGCTTGACGTGAAGTGCAACCGATCGCACTGGCAGTCCGAGTGTAAACCTGATCTGCTATGATGGTCGCCTTCGGTTGGGCACAGCATCTCTTTGTGAGACAAGGCTTGATAGGCCAGCCTGGACTCCGCTCGCCTGACAGTTCCCTTTCTATGTTTTCTAGGCTTTTCCGCCTCTCTTCACGCAACGGTTCAGCAAGGATGTGAATGGAACGACACAACCCATTGGAAAACTCGTTCCATGCGGGTTTGGCTTCAGTTCGAGGATGCGGGGTTCTCTCCTTTGCGCACAAGCGTTCCCAGACCGTTGTGGTTGGCAGAGCGGCAGGCAGATGTGCCACGTTGGACGGCTGTCGCGATAACTTGGAGGCGAGATGTACGGTGGCCGATGGGTACAACATTTCGCGTGGGTGATGCCGCGGCGCATGCGTTGCGCTTGACATTTCCAAGCGCAATGATAGACCTGGCAAGGTGTGCCTCCAATTGGGAGGTCCAAGACACGACCTGGGCAGTTGCATCAGGAGTAGCTCTTTATGTGTCATCTCAGGCTCCGGCCTCTTCTGCATAAGAGAGCACGCTAACACGAATGGGGAGCGCAAAGGGACAGTCGAAGGAACTGGCCGGGCAGGCAAAGGCCCCAGCTTACAGTCCCAGTCGTTGATGGGTGGGTAGTTGAGAGATGACCGTCCTTGACACCAGGAACGTAGCCTAGCCGCATCGGTGTCGTAATCTGAATTCCGCCCAGAAAGGGGTTAGGCGTGTAGATGTCACATCCGAGAACTTGGTTGAGGGCCTGAGCAACCATGAGGGCAGAACGTATGATAACTCAACGCGTCGAACCAGTAGATTTAATCACAATCAAAGAACCGCTGCTGGCTGAACAGTGCAGGTCCAGTGAGTGCCCCAGCTCGTAAGGGCATCGTGAATAAACTGCCAAAATGTCCAACAAACCAAGCAAGGGTGACGATCCCGATACGTGGCAAGCCGATACACCTGCTGTCTCTGGTGGGTGACCAGCTGAAGAATATGGCTGATCAGGCAAGGACACTTGCCCAGTCGCATGGCACATCGTCCCGGCAGAGTGTGTCGTGATTGACGGATAGACTACTGCTGAACAACATGGCCCATGCAAGCGTACTAGCTCAAGAAGTTGACATGCGGGAACGGCTGGAGGATCCCACCAGTCGTGTGAGGATATCGACTCGATTGTATGGCACATTGAATTGGTGGAGCAAGTCACGATTAGTGCATGCGCTGCTACCGAGTGGTGTGCTGACTGCAGGTGTGCTGACTTGAGAAAGGAGTGCATGGATACAGTCGGAGATCCTGAGCTAGTAGACAAAGAGGTCAGCTCAACCGCTTGGCAGGGCGAGCGGATGAGATTCGTCACAATCGGCCGACCAGCTCCGACTGAGTGACACAGATGGCACGAGCACTCCGGCTTGAGAGGGTAAGACAAAAGAGCACCTAGACGGTCAATAGGGTGCATCGTGCTTGATGATTTGCATGCCCCTGAATGACCTGGCTCACATGAGCGTGCCAGCGTGATAGGATTACGCAAGGGGTCCGTCGGAGGATCCGACTGGAGAGACGCTATGGTTGACAAATGGACCACCGATGAGCTGTATGACTCAAACGAGCACATCATCTCGATGGGACAGCACACGGTAACCGTCAAGTAACTTGGCTGGGCAAGTGAAGTTATCCAACCGTCGATGGGCGAGGTGGTTGGGAGACGGCTGCCCTTGACATCAGGGATGCAGCCTAACCACATTGATGTCATAAGCTGAGTTCCGCCCAGCTGGGGATTAACTGCATGGATTCCGTAGTTGAGATCCTCATTGAGAACCGGAGTAAACGTGAGGACGATATGCTGCCCTTTAACCTGGATGGATTGGTGATCGAGATGGATGCGATGTGCGCCCATTCTGACGGGTGGTATGATCTTTTGACACATTGAACCGATGGGACGCGTTACAATCGGTGAGTGTGCTGCTGCTGAGCGATGTGGCACATGCCAGCATGCAATCCAACTGTCGATGAGTGAGGTAATTGGGAGTCGGTCGCTCCTAATACCAGGATCGTAGCTTAACCACATCAGTGTTGTCCTTTCGAGGTCACTCAATGCGGCCAAATGAGAAACCCCATTCCTGTGCGAAATCTGAGTCCTCCCCAGCTGAAGGCTAGACAGGTAGATGTCGCATTCAAAGGCTATGTTGAGAGCCTGAGTACCTGTGAGGATGATGGGTTGCTCTTCAACCTGAAAGGATTGACATGTGGAGCCACGGAAGTGTATCAGGACCAGCAAATGAGTTGTGGTCGAACAATTTGGTCCGTTTGAGTGCGCCAGCTTGGGAAGTCGACACGCAGGTTCAGCTGGAGAATCCGACTGGTCATGCGATATTACCAGTTCGACCGCACAGTGCGTCGAATCGGTAAAGCACATCTTGATTGGTGTGTATGCAGCCACCAGGCGGTACGACACATGCAAGCCTGCTGACTCGAGCATGGAACGTGAAAGGATTCTGGCGACTCAGGAGTATGGCGCAAATTAGCAACCCAGGGAACCGACTGGCCATTCAGGAGTATGGGATCGCATACGCAGCTCTTTGTGCTAATCGCGAGTGTGGTACTCGACGGACAGACCACCTCTGACTGATGTAGCGCAGGCAAGCACTCTGAGTTGTGAGGATGATGTAGAGATACGATCAGAGATTTCGTTTGGGCAGGTGGCAACGTCTGGTTGGCTGGGTAGCGCATCGACCTGACGGTGCACGTTGTAGCCAGTGACAAACTGGTGGAGACTGGTCTGCCTGGTTTGTTCGATCCCAGGTGACATGAGCAAACAGCTACACTATCCGAATGAATGGGCAAAGGTGCCGGTTCAGCCTTACAACTTGTCGAACCGATGGAGTTTGTTGTACTCGACAGACAAGTCACGCTTGAATGAGATTGTTCAGACAGGCGCGCTGGGTCCCGTGAGCTCCACGAAGGGGCAGCTATGTAACCCGATTGACATGGTAAGGCCGAGGATTCGACCTTGCGACATGTAGCACTGAGGGAGTGTGTTGCAATGGATAGACAACCAGTAGCTGAACAAAATTTCTCAGAAAGACGTGCTGGCTCAAGTGAGTGCGGCCAAGAAACAGCCAGTTGAATTGACTGAGCAGCTGGGGACCTGAACAACGACTTGGCTGCGTGGTCCACATGACACATCAACCTGGCAGCACGCGTCGCGGTTGTGGAAGGTGAGCTGGATAGCTTATTCGAACGTGTCGACCTGCATGGATGCCACAAGGGTGTAACTGGGCGCAACTGGGCAGTTGGGCGCTTAAGCGTCGATTTGAGCACACAATGTGTCGAGCCGGGGATGTGGACTGCACTCGATACCCAGGCTGCAACCCCACAATGCAGTTCACCTGAATGTGTCGGCTCGGACAGACACTGTGAAGGACCTGAAATGGAGCTCCGCTGGCCAGACAGTGTTATTAGCCGGGCCACGGAAGGCGCCAGACTGATTGGGCATGCTAGCTCCGATGAGCACTGGGGCATTGTACTGGAAAGGTGCATCAGGTTCGATGAACCTGCTGGTTGACCCGATTGAACAGGCAAAGACGATGACTCCACTGTGCAGTATGTCGATCCAGTGGTGTGAGTTGCACTCAGTGGACCAGCCTGTACTGGGCAATGTGGTGCGAATGGGTGTTCTGGCTTGGGTGAGCCCTTCAAAAGGGGAACCAGTTGATCCAGCTGGATAAGACACTTAGACGCCGGTTTGCCTAGGCGCACTGGCTCTAGTGAGCGCTGTGAATGAGTAGACGATGGGTCCATCTGGTTATTCGGGAGCGTCGATTCCGCTATGTGTCGTGCTGTGCCGCCAAGGTTTGTTGCACCAGACGGACAGGATGCATCTGAATGAAGCAGTTCATGTAAGCGTAATGGCTCGGGCAAGTATTGTAAAGGACCAGAGACGGAGCCTAGCTCTGATGAGCGCCGCAAAGGGGCAACCAGACGCTCCAGCTGGACAGCTGGGTTCGTTGTTTCGACTGTCCAAGGCATTGAACAGGAAGGGTGTGCCACATTCGGCAAGCCTGCTGGTTGTTCTGTTTGGGCAGGCAAAGATGGTGACTCAGTTGAACAGCGTGTCGGGCTAGTGGAGTGAGTTGCACTTGGTGAACCAGCCTGGACTGAGCTATACACTTTGAACGGGTGCTGCAAAAGAGCGGTCGGTCGGTTCATCTGTATAGTTGGGAGCATTGATTCCACTATGTGCTGTGTCGAATTTTCAGGGTGTGCGGCAATCGATGGATGGGACATGTCTGTATGGAGTGACTCAGGTGAGTGCGACAGCTCATGTGGACATTGTGAGTGATCAGTCGAGAGATTCAACCGTGACTGAGTGGGCAAGGATGACAGTTCGACCTCGCGACATGTTGGGTTAATGGAACCCGTTGTGCTTGTTGAATGGTCCGTGGCTGGTTGAACCAACTGAGTAGCCAGTGACATTGATTCGGTCTTACGACAGGTTGGGCTGGTGAGGCGCCCTGCGCACAATGAACCTGCCACGATTGGACAAGGTTGCACCATTAGGTGTGCCGGCTCGAGGGGGTGTTGCACAGGAGCAGTCGTTTGATGAGACTGGAGTATCAAGCTGTTGTAGCGTGTCATGCTCGATGCACCGACTGCAACTGCACCATCTGGCGCTGAGGACAGGTGCGGTGAGGGCAACTCCGATTTCACCGCAGCGGGCAATATCGCAACAACCTCAGGTGTACAAGGTCGTACTGGTGTCAATGAGGGGTCGGTTGTGACGATACAGGAGCTCACTGCTCGGGACTGTGTGAGGACAAGGACCTCCTTAACACGTTCGAAATGTAGAACGAAATCAGCTAGTTTTCGCTGTAAATAGTTCCAAGTTCGATGTAAAGTGCTTAACTCGGTCCAGCCCAATGTGATCAATGTCGAAAGGATGATCTGTCCTGGGTCTGCCTTGAACGTGGCAGGGATGAGATTGGAATTGGAGATGGTTCGGGTGAACCGGTCCATCGCTTGAAGGATCAGTATTAGCTGTTGACCGCGCTTGTCCATGATACGGTAAGAGGTTGAGGAGTCTGTAGCCAGTTTGCGGAATGACTGAACCTCTATGTCGTCTGGGCCCAGCTGTTGCCACTCTTGTAGCATGTCCATAGGCGCGCGCTCATAATAGAATCTCCATGGTGACAAAAACTCATCCAGCGCATGCTTTAGTTGAATGGTAGAGTGTTGATAGTCTGAGTTGACGATACTGAGGTTAGATGGGTATTCCTCTTGTGTGTGAGCTTGAGGTCGCACAATAGCATTTGATGATGGTGCGACCAGGGTTGGGGCACCAATGTTACAGGAATGGGTTCCGGGGAACCCAACCTGAGCCGTCCCGCCCACGGACAGAGGTGGCTGCGTAGCCGTTGAAGGGAGAGCAGGAGATCTGAGACCGGGTGTACTAGTGGTAACTTGGCGCTCCGAGGAGCGTACCGGCAGCGGGTATAATGGGGGCTCCTTGAGGGAGCCACCTAACAGTTGGCTAGCAGCAACTTGGCACTCCAAGGAGCATACCGGCAGCGGGTATAATGGGGACTCCTTGAGGGAGCCATCTAACAGTTGGCTAGCGGTGACTTGGCGCTCATGTGAGCGTACCGGTAGCGTGGGTAGTTGGCACTCCTTGAGGGAGTAGCCCAGTGGTTGCCTATCGGTTACTTGGCGCTCAAGGGAGCGTACCGGTAGCGGGACTTGTTGGGACAGACAGGTTGGTTGACCAGTGCATGGTAGTGAGTGACCGTGGGAATTTGGGCCCGCAGGTACGTGGCCAGGCATCCTGGGGCTGCCTGGGTCACTTCTCCCTCCCAAGAAGGGAGGAAGGGTTGTAGGACCCAGTAGGGTACTACAGGAAGGATAGGAATAGGAGCTCAACCACCCAGTGGGGGGGTGGGAGCGGGAAGAGTGAGGTCCGGTGTCTGAGCACTCACCGGGCCGATAAGGTTTTCTCACAGATTGTAAGAATATCGATGTAGACATCGATATGGACCAATTCAGATGTTACAGAGAAGGCTTACAGTGGTGGCACAATGGTGTGGCAGTTACAATTGCGGGTACAAGGTTTTGTGGGTTATGTATTTGATAATGAAGGAACAATTCCGGCAACTGCCTTACATGTCATATGACTCATAACTATCTAATATAAATATTATAATGGTCAAGGGAAATCCCTTGAAACTCAACAAATCCCCCAGCCAGCACCAAAACCCAGTGGGAAAGCTTGGCATGGGGTTTGACAGTGAAATAAGGTGATGGAATCCCAAAGTCTGCTTGCCTATAGTCACGGACCATAAGATTCTAGATCCATTTCTATAACAAGCAGGCATGAGTGCATTAATTGGACAAGGTGAAAGGTGGCAGACTTGCCACCCAGCCGCATTCATGTCCAAAAAGTTCACCAACACACAACGTAGGTACTTCGCCTATGAGCTCGAGGCACTGGGTGTCCTCGAAGCACTCATGAGATGGCAAGATGACCTCATGGGAGGCCGTGAATTCACAGTAATCATGGACCACAAAGCTTTGGAATATTTCAAAGCGAAAAACCACAACTCAGGTAGACACCTGAGATGGCAAGCCTTTTTCGCAAGCTTCAATTGCAAAATAAAATACGTGGAAGGCCACAAAAACAAAGTGGCAGATGCACTCTCACGATACTACGACTCGTCAATGGACGAGGATCTGCATTTCAATGACTATGTGTCAGCGGACATCCACCTGGACAAAAATGCAGAAGACATTATCCCCGACAGAATCGAGGAATACGAAGAACTGCTACTAAGCAGTACCCTGAGTAAAAACTCAGAGAGAAAGAGACTCGCAGCGATATGCGCGAGAAATACCCTAGAGGAAGCTCTAGGGGGGAGCGCCCAAAATCTGGAAAAAATCATAATTCCAGAGGAGAACCTTCGAAAACAATTCGAAGAGAAAGACCTCATTGAGGCAATAAAATCTGGATACTCGAAAAGCCAGATCCACCGGGAAATCCTAGAGAACCCAGGAAATTTCAAAAACTTCTCCATAAAAGATGGGCTGATAACCCGACTTGGAGAAGGAGGAACGACCCAAATAGTAGTCCTGAAAGGGAACTATGAAAGGAAGTCCATTCGAGGAATACTCCTCAAGAACATCCACAAAACACTTGGACACCTAGGATCCAAGAAAACAGTGGAAACCCTCCATCGACACTTCTGGTGGAAGTCGATGAGGAAGGATACCCACAAGTTCTGTAGGTCTTGCGGAACTTGTCAAACGACAAAGAAAAGCACCAGGAGAAATCCCGGAATGCTTCACCCACTCCCAACCCCGGAGACACCATGGTCATCAATAGCCATGGACTTCACAGGTCCATTCCCAACAAGCTTGGGATATGATTACCTCTGGGTAATCATTTGTAGGTTGACGTCCAACATCCACCTAATTCCAATAAAGACAACAACGAACGCACTAGAACTAGCATTCGTATTTCTTTGTGAAGTTGTAAGACTCCACGGTCTACCACACTCGATCATATCAGATCGAGACTCGAAATTCACGTCAAAATTTTGGTGCGAATTACACCGAATACTCGGTGTGCAGTTGAA